ACGCGTGTGACCTCCGTGGCCGCCCCAAAAAATTACCGCCCCTCCCCCGCCGCCACCGCGCCCCGGCCTGATGCGCCCTTGCGTGGGCGTCAGCTTCGGCGTCGTGTGACCCGGCGACCACGTCCGTCGAAGCGCCAGGCGGCGCCCGCGTGAATTACGACCCGGCGACGTGTGACGCGGTGACCCCCGCTGACGCCGGAAGCCAGCGACGCCGAAGGGTACAGACGCGTGAGGAGCGATGCAAGATCGGCAACGGAGAGCGGGTAGAGTTGAGCTAAACGCTCAAGGCGCTCGGGGTAGATGGGTTGTGGACGTTTCGATTTGCATAACTCGACGGTCGTGCGAAGGTTTGTCTAGAGCGCGAGAAGTTGAGGTGTACGTTAAAACCAGTCAGTGCACTTGACTGGCTGGGAGATGCTGAGTTGAAGGTTCATATGCCGACAATTTGACGGCTGAGAGGATGGTTTTGGTGAAACAAGTCTTCTTCTTAGTTTACTCCGCTGTGCTTTTCTTCTCCGTTTCTTAATTTCTTTTGATTTGTAGAAAACTATCTTGTATTGGAAAATTTATGATCCATTCTTTGAGTCGCAAATATTTAATGAACGAGAAATGTAAGAGAAGGAGCGGACAGTGCCATTGCGTCTCTCACAACAGATGTTTAACTTGCCGAAGATTTTATATCAAGCGAACTTTTTCATGTCACTATGTCACTTGTGTATATAATTTTTCTCATCTAGATGAAAATAGAAAACCATTCTCCCTGTCAAGAACGAATCATCTCGAAATGCATTACGATCACATTCATAAAGACTCTCAGTGATATCGATAGCCTTGGGGGTTTTTTGTATACTGATGCCTGCTGAATACTAATGCATACCCGCTGAAATTTTAGCCCTGCCAGCGCCTACTAGTCAATGAGATCATCTCGACTACAACATTTCGAGCAAGAGAAGACATACGTCCTACGTTCCGAACAACGGCTTCACTTGAGCTGTCTGCTGAGATGACGAATAACTTGGGAGTCGAAGGGTGCGGAAAGAGGGTAAGGGCGCGGGCGGAGGGCGGCACATCCGGTCAGATCGTTCCCGCGCCGGGAACCTAAGCCGCACCCGGGGCCCGTCACGAGCCACGGACCGCAGCGGAGATGGCGGTGGCGGCGGCGGACTGCAACGCCACTCCCGGCTGAAATTTCACCGAGTGAGCAGCTTCCCCCCTTCCCCACCCGATCCCACCCGCCCCCTCGCTACCGCGCGGTTCGGCTTACCGCGAGCGACCGCGTATCACGTTGCGACGGCCCACGAGGAAGGAGGCGGGGCGGGGCGGGGCGAGGTGGGGCGGGGACGTCACATTGTGGGTGACACTGGTGACGGTGGCGGGAGTGGGGAAAGACTGGGTCTAGGGAGATTGCAGTAGAGAAGGTTGCGGAGAGCATGCCGCGGAAAATTTTGTTAGCTATGCAAATTGTGATTATCAAGGATAGGGGACGATATTTCTAAACCGCAGAAAATATATTCCTTGCTTAATCTCGTATACGCTCCCGAGTGAAGCAGTGGAATAAGAAACTAGGACACTTTATGTCATCAATTCCTTGAGTAAATAATAGCATTCAATATAATTTGATTCTAGGATTGATAGACTAATCACGCCATGTAACACACCGTGGAAGCCAAATGTTCCCAAGTTGATAGGTGTTTTACTATCGTGCGGGTATAATAGCAATTTTTAATTTCCCTTTACATAACAATGGACTAGTTCATAAAAAAATGTCACTAATCGTTTGAGAATAACCCTTCGGAGGCACAGAAAAAGTTTTAAGTTAAAAATGTTAAAGGTTTTTGATTGTGATATCACAGAGCTTGGTAAATACAAATGCAACTCTCAACACTCAGGACCAACCTACAAACTGCAACACAAAGTGCTTCGCTCAAACCTCCGGGCAATAATCTATAGAATTAGATATTGCGCGAAATTATATCATATTTTGTGTTCAGCGCTTCTGATTTCCTTCACTGAGTAGGGGTATGTGATACAGCTGTTCAGAAAGAATAGAATCATCCGAATAATAAACTTCTTTTTGAACCTTGTAAAGATTTGAAATTCGTTGAAAACTAGTATGTCTCCAAGTACACACCGCAACGACCGGTCGGACTAGTGTATCTGTTTTTTCTTGCACTTATAATGAATTTTTACGCGTTATGTAAATGAAAGCAAACTTGAAACTTAACACATTTATAGTTCAAGGTTTACGTCGCCAAATCAACATTCTCTACATTTACTTAAGTATGAATAATCAAATGAAATGAGTTGCTTTATATTTTGATTGTGATAGTTCATTGCAACGAATTGATTTAATTTTGTTTCATTTTATGCTTGGAAGCTGCTGTCATTATCTACATTAACCTATGACTTAAACTCTATAGTGAAAATAAGTATCAACATACATAAAAATGGTGGTTGGAAACATAATGAACTAATTAATTATTATGAGCGTTTGTTTATTTCTCGTTTCAATTTTCGAGACATATTGGGACCAAATTGTTGAGCCTCGTGAACAAAATCCATAAATTGTACGTTCAGGGGGAATATGAGGCCTTATCTTCACACGCTAGCGTTTTCCTTTTCCCGTTTTCACAAGAGGATTGTGTCGTATCTGAAACTTACACAATGTATGCAGATATGTTTGACAGCTTGCGTGTTTGTAAGCTACTGTTCCGCACAGGCCTAGAAATGCTATTTTACAAACGAAGTTTCTTAAACGGAATTTACGGAAACTCGCAATTGTTCCCATGGCTGAGATTATGTTATACAAACGCATAAATCGTGATGTCGCATTGATAACATTACAAACATTGTTGTATCTGAGGTACACATTCTCTTCTTTTTTATGCATAAATAATGTTTGTCAGAAGTGAAATTTAATTTGAATTAAACAAAAAAAAATATTCATAATTCAAAAATACGAATACAACACTTTTTCCTTACATGCAAGAGACACGCACTCACTATAAATACAAACTTGAACGATTCAATACTAAAAAGGATTTTTTAAAATTAAATGAACTTAGCTAGTCCAGTTACTCGAGGGACTTTGTTAAACTCTTTGGAATAACTAAATATGATAACTTTAATTTTAAGTAATTTTGGTTGTAATCATTAGCCCTCCACAAGGCAAAATATAACAATCGTTGAGTAAAACTGACTTCTCCATTCGCGACCTCTCAATCAAATAATTTTCTGTCCGGGTCACATGGGTTCGTGACGCGAAAGTTAGGTCAATTTTGAAAGCTTACTAGGCGCCGTGTAAAACTGGCGGCGCGTCCCATATAATTGAAGGCCGTCCGACGAGGGTGTGAGGTGGGTGTGAGCAGTGAAGGAAGGGGGGCGAGGGGCGTCTGGGGGATTCCGCAGCCGCATTAGCCGCGTCCCCGCGTCAGGGCAGCCAACGTGACGGAGCCCGCTGCGGCGCAGGTCGGCCGAGGCGCTTCCAACATTGACGAGCGGCCGGGGAGGAGAGGGGCGGGCGGGGGACGGGGGAGGGGCGTGGAGAGGGCGGTCTCCCGAGATATCGGTAATCAATCTATTATCGAGGAGGCTGCTCAATTAATCAGGGCGGGCCGCTGATCAATTCTTGATGCGGCGCGGCCGACGCGTCCGCTGCACGTGCGCGCGAGTGTCGGCGTGGGTTGCGGCGCGGCGGCGCGGGAAGGCGGCGGGGCCGGGCCGGGGAGGTGCGGGGCGGGGGAGGACCTCGAGACGGACAGCGTGCGGTCGGCACCTCGGACAGGGTATCTCGCCGCCCGCGACACCTTGATTGGCGGCCCGTGCCCGGACCCGAAGACGCAGCAAGGCCGTGCGGTTGATCTACGGGCAACGCTGATGTTTCAGTTATCTGCTAATGGATTTAAGATTCCCGCTCGAAGTTTGAGGAATGTACACATATGTATTTGATGATTGTGTATCCGGTTTGAAATGTAGTATGTGTGTAATTTCATTGTTTGTTCACTTGCTTCACCTCATTTAATCTCTGTGAAGCGGAAATACATGGGTGAGAATATTCAATGAACAATCTTATACTTCTTTCAAGGTATCTTTATATGCGATTATTACATTGTAATTAAGACACTAATGAAACTTCCCTAATTAGTTCTATGAATATCGTAGAATGATGTGTCGAATACTATAACAGCTCATTTCAATGTTAAACATTTCCGTAATACAACTATACAATGGATATAATGAAACTACCTAGTTTCTGGTATGCGTGCGATCTTATCTCCATTTCAACATCATTTTGTATTCTCAAATACTCATTTCTGTGTATCAAATCAATACAATACTAAGCAACAAATGAATGAATAAATAGATTTCACAAGTACAAGTTTTTACCCGACTTGGTACTACAGAATGTTCTTGACTTCTGCTCTCTGAAAGCGAGTACTCGAAAACAAGTTAGAGATTTGTAAAAAAAGAGCCTTCAGGCGTCCCAAGATGAAAATTGCTTCTTAATATGTTTTTATAAATATTATTTGATAAGTCATCAGCAACATGGCAACTTCATATTTAGAACGTTTCAATTAACGTTCCAGACGGCAGAGAAAACGACGGTTCCTAGAAAACATAAATTTAGTTTATAATTTTATACGTGGATGGTTTCTTATGCAAGTGAAATGTCAAATGCACTTCGCAGAATAATTTATGACGTAATGACTGGAGACAGCCGCGAAGTCACCTAAGCAATTTACTTTACCACAGAAATAAGCATGTCGTTCAGACGACTCAATAAATCAAAATAGCATGCAACTATTATAGTTATTAGTCCAACTTGGATGTGAAGCCCATGTAATACTCTGCAGACAAATTACCTTTCGTTTTTGCAAGAGTGTTACTTGCCAGAATAAAAGGTCATTGTCCGGAGTTGTCCTCCAGAGCAGGCATTGCATGGAGTTTCCCTGTTTGCTGGTCCAACGTGACTATTCACATGTTCTGTTTTTCTTTTTCAGATCGATCCAAAAGTTGCCTTCCCCAGGAGAGCACATCCAAAGGTGAGTAATTGTCACCATTGTATTATTTTCCCCGCTAGTTAGTCATTTTGGTCATAAAGGCAAGCGTGTATTTAGAATGTGTCTTTTCTTTGCTCTGCTGGTGTGTCTGCCCATAACTTAACTCGGCCGGTCGTGTTCATGCCAGCTTTCTTGCGGAGTTCTTTTGCGCTTTGACTCCACGCGCGCCGCCAAGCGGATGTTCGCCGAAGCTCTTCGGGAAGACTATCGTCCGTGTCAGTGGCGAAGTCAGACTCTAAAAGCTCGTGGGTGGTGCATTCTTTTTGTGTGCAGCGTTTCGTCGGAAGAGCGGTCGTTTTGTTGCTTGTAATTTTAGAAATAAAAGCATCACACGGCATCTTTAATGGGCTTGCCTCTCAAGGGAGATTGCCGTTTGCCGTGCATGACCTTGGCGTTTGTTGTGCGAATGCACTACGTGAAGTCACTGCTTCTTGAAAGGACTTGGCTCTTTGCTAGACTTCTTTCATACTCGAGTGAGTATTCACCATGAGTAAGCAGTCCCACGTTGAATTACGTTATAATTCCTTCTCAGCCTTAATTAAGTAGACCTATTCATGGCTATGAAAACGAGTTTAATAGGTGAATAGTTCAAAAGTGTGATTTCATTTTGTCATTCAATGTACGATGTAAAAAAAGTGTTCTTTCTCTCACAACTTTCTCACTGTTGCCAGACAATTTTGACGAAAAAAAATATCACACTAGTTGCATGGTACCCTTGGTATGTTTGAATTAATAATATCTGCAGTCAGATCATTAAGGAAGAATCACTGAAAGATAATGAAATGCTATTGATTTCAAATTAAATTACAACAAATGTTTCGTATTTCAAGAGTAGGAAACTAATTGTATAGCTATTGCATTGCTTCAAATATATGAGGTATTACTTGTTTAGTGGAAACCTAACCTTAGTTTGTGGGAAGTGGGAGGGATGATTATGGGCATCTGAATTACTTTATCAATGAATTAATAGGATGTGTCTCCTTGCACGTGCATCAAAAATGAGATAATACGAAACTCTATTTGTACGCAACACTTTTACTGCCTTGTAATACCAAATTTCAAGATCAGTAACCTGTTTTATGTCGAACATTGCATTGTTCTATTTGTTAGTCAAATATGGTAGAATATTGACACTTTAATTGGAAGGTAATTGTACTATTACTAAACAATGATGTGGTGTGCTAAGAGGCAAACCCGTTCTTTGTAAAGAGAAATGAAGGAAATGAATATTTGTGTATTTAGACCATTTTAGTATAAACGATGCCATGTCTCTAAAATATGTACATTTTTCTTAACAGAACGCTCTTACTTTCGTAAAAAAACATATTTTAAGATCAGAAAGTCTCTTACATCCAACAGTTTGGTTTATTTCTTTATCATAAGTGGACCAACAAATGTGTGTACATGGAGACATTGGCAATCCTACAGGCAGTGTAGTGTACTATGAGGTAAACCTTTGATTAGAATGGAGGGGCGAGAAAGCTCTCCGGAGAAGCGGAGTTGTTTCGAAAGCCGTAACAAGGCGAGCGGGTGGGAGTACGCGCGTGCTGCGAAGTACTAAATTCCCCTCTCTTTACAGTTCGTCATTAACGTTCCCGAAGGCGCGTGCGGTACTCGTGGTAAGCCCATATTAGTGGTGCTCTTTCTCTTATTTCCACTTCTTCCCTCTTCCTTTTCTACCTTTGCTGCTCCTCCTCGCCTCTCCCGCAGCCACGGGAGTTGTGTTAATTAAGTTCAAATCAAATTACCATTTGGATTTCATGCTCGTTAAACCTTTCTACGCCACTCTCAAGACGGCGGCACAGACAGCGCGGGCGGACGAATTGGGTGTCTGAAAGTGGAGAGAAATTCATGGGAACAGAAAGGGAAGTTAGTCGCAAATTCAAAATAATAATTGCAGTTGTGAATGATGATAAATAGTGTTGACTAAATGATCTTTGCAACATGTATGGCAAAAAACTATTAAAGAAGCAAATAGCTTTGCATTAATGGTACAAAACTACTGATTAGATTGGAAGAAATGTTTTTTGGGGACATTTAGTACCTGTCATATGAATTCAAGATTTTTTTACTAGTATTAAAATTACACACGTTTCAGTAATTTTTCTTTTAATACCAAAAACATTGCTTTTCATACACTTTTCAATTATATTCTAATAAAATGTGCTTGGAAAATACCATTTCATAAATTTTGTGTAGTACTCTAAAATTACTTATATACATAAATTCGTAATTTCTTCCCGTGATGCACCAATATGATACCAGAATATGACTATTTGAAAGAAAAAAAATATTTCGTATAATTCCATGTTATTCTCGCCAATATCAGTGAATCCGATAAAAACGTAATGACTGAATTATTGTTGAGACAATTGATCATAGCATTTGAAAAAATGATGAAAAATACGAATTGTGTATTCAGTTTCAAATGTATGATTTATGGTAACACAGTACACGTTAGACAGGCTGATGGGATTCACTATTGTATCCCTCCAAAAGACATTTGATGATATTTAAATTTAAAGTGAAACGGAAAGCAGGAAAAGCAGTTAAGAAAATTGAACGAGGCTTCCAGGGCACTTGTTTTCCCGCGCGCAACCTCGCCTCACTTCATCCGCGGGCGTCGTAAGCTGAGACGGCGGTGGCGACCGAGAGAGACAGCGCTCGCCCGGTTCAGCCCAGCGAGCGGCTGGCATCTGGCGGGAGCAGTACGTCGCACTCGAATAAAACCGGTAATTGAGAAATTAATAATTGAAAGCTCACCACAGTTACAGAGAGCGGCCCGCGTGAATATTTGATGCAGTTCCAACACACGTCCCACACTCGCTCGCTCGCTCGCTCGCTCTCGCCTGTGCCAGTCGCCAGCCGCTGATCTGTCGCGCTTGCTCGCTCGCTCGCTCGCTCGCTCGCTCGCTCGCTGGTGGGCGGCCTCACTTGCGTTGTGTTGGGGAAGAGCGGCTGAGTTGTGGCGTTGCTAGAGCATGGGCCACCCGGGGAGCTGTTGGGTTTCGTCTTAGCAGAGAAAGAACGACATAGCAACCGAAAACGCGGCTGTTGAAAGAAGGATGAGGGTAATGGGCTGCAGGGAGAAGACGGTTGCGGTATGTAACAGCTAAAGGTAGAAATATATCTAATATTAGAAGGGCTCAGTCATTCCTACACTCAACACATTGTGTTGATACAGCTGAATTAATGGTGATGAACGAATCATTTCAATCCCATCATACGGCTAAGGCTGGTATCAGCTACCGGGCGCTGGCTGCAGGAAAGTGATTGTCTAAGCGTGAGGAAAATTTTTTTGCATAAATTGCGTTTTAAAGACTCGATGTTGTTTTTTGTAAATAGCCAAGGCTGAAGACCGGAACTTCGTCGCTAAATCGAAAACGAGTAGCAAAGCGCCAACTGAGATAGAATGAGGTTACGCATGTTGATATCGTATAAATAGAAAAATAGTTTTGACACATTGAAACTCACAAATTTCGCATTGACGAAAAATTTAACTCCGATCACAGCAGTGAGAGACAATGACAGATAGTGAGTTTTCCATTGACAATGCATTGCTAAAAATAGACTTTAGATTTGTATGTGACCACCTTTTCCCTCCTCCTGCGATCGCCTTGCTTTCCTCTCTTCTGGGACGAGGGCGACTGGGCGAGGGGAGATGCAAGGGCAATAGGTTTATCAAAATAAAAGCATTCTTTTAAGTCCTTGTATACTTCAGTTAGTACCGAGAACTTCGTACTTATAAAATTAAAATGATATGGTATCTCCTTTGCTTATTGGGTTAATTTAGAAAGTTATAGCCAACCATACTGGAAATAGTAACATAATATCAGTTGACGTTTATGCAATGAAGCTTATATACACCTATCTTGAACTAATGCAGTCGCGTCATACCTAGTAGTAGTGAGGAGAGACGTTGGTAAAACAACTTAAGAAGTTGATGCAGGGGTTTCATGAAGTGTGCGACCTGGAGAGAAATAAGTAATGAATAGAAAGCTTACATCCAGTTTCGTAAGTGGATCGTGCGATGATTTTCATGTGAAATTCTTTCTCTTAATTTTCATATTACAAACTCCGGAGGATAAAACACGTTTTGCAAGGATCGTCTCAATTATTATTTTCTTGAGAATAAAACGCCTCTAAAATATTGCCACTGAAAAACATTCTCATCATGCGTATAATCGTGCAGTTCGGACACGTGTTGAGAAATATATCAAGACTGAGTTTCAAAGTTATATGAACGTTTTCCCTATGCTGGTCACTCTGTCACCGCCGCCGCCACCGCTGACTATGCCACCAGCGGCGCCCGCCTCGCCCGAGAACAGAAGCCAGCTTGGCAAGAAAAGGCAATCGGCATTCGAGGGAAGGAACGTGCGGGTAGCATTGGCGAAGGCGCGTGCGTGGGTGTGGGTGTCTAAGTGCGAGGGCGCTGCGGATGTGTGGGCGAGGGCGCGAACGAGGACGGAGGCGGGGACGAGGACGAGGGCTAGGACGAGGGCGCCCTGGTTCGCGCGCAGGGGTCCTTGCGGTCGGAGGATTTTTCTTTTCATCTCCTTCCGAAAGGCCCTCTTTGTTCCCCGTGGCCCCCAGGCGCCGCGGGCGTTTCCTTCAGAGACGGTCTCTCTCTCTCCCCGCCCCGCCTCCCGTTCTGTCCTCAGTCCCCGCGCCCGCTCCCTGCCCTCCTCGGAGAACGCCTCGGCGACGATGACGCGACTCGGCGGTGGCGCGGAGCGGCGACGTGTTATATAAAAGAGGATTGGGGGATCGCGCCGGATAAAGGGAATGTGTCCGGCTGAAGCCGCAATTTGCAGAGGGCCTCCGTTGATTAATTCGGAGCTTCCCTCCGCCCCTTTCGTGGGTGGCTCAGGTGCAGTGTGAACTGCGGACAGCCTCCCCCTCCACCGCCACCCTCCCCGACACTTCGTAGTTTGCCTACTGGCGACTCCCTCCCCTTCACTTCCTCAGCGCTCTTCTGTTCT